GGGCATTGCTTGTGAAAGACAGCTATTATATATATATACATATTTTTTTCCCCTAAAGCAGACCCTCCAGAACATTAGAAAGCAATATAAAGACATTCTGGGAATTAATTTGAATTCCTTATGTAGTTCAAAGGGCTAAAATGGAAATATTTTTATAACTCCAGTTGGCAGTTCATTTGTTCATTTTCTTTTTTTTTTTTAAGATTTTATTTATTTATTTGAGAGAGACAGTGACAGAGAGAGAGAGAGAGCACAAGAGGGGGGAGCGGAGGAAGGAGAAGCAGACTCCCTGCTGAGCAGGTAGCCCGATGCGGGACTCGATCCTGGGACTCCAGGATCATGACCTGAGCCGAAGGCAGTCGCTTAACCAACTGAGCCATCCAGGCGCCCTATTTGTTCATTTTCTATTATTCTCCGTTAGTAAGTCCTACATGATTGGGAACACACACCATGTTTGGAGGGAGCAAAGTGGAATTTTTTAATATTTCCAAGAAAATAACTTAATGATGCCTAAAAATATTTTATCCAAAATGCTCCTGGAGCTCTTTGCCAGGTCATTACCTGTGTACCAAAGAGGAATGTTTTTTGTCCCTGTTGAGCAGAAATTATGAAACAAGCCTAAGAAATTGCAACCAGTGGTGTTAAAATGTAAACATTAGGGCAGAGGGAACAAGTAATTAGTATTTATTTTGTCTAACTTTACTCCTTTCTAACTTCTTAATTTTCTACGTCTGGTACTTCTCTTTTGGGGAAGAAGAAGAATGAGGAACCTCCTTCTGCTTCTGAAACCTTCTGGTATAATGGTACTGACTTTTTGGTAGCAAAATGGTCCCTGGCTCCTTGCTTGTTCCTAAATCAGCCCAATCTTTCACCGATTCTGTGCACTCTCCATTAGCCAAATCACCCTCTCTCTCCTGCTGTCCACCCCCTCCATGTCCTTCTCCCTGCCTACATTTAGAATCAGGAAGTTCAAGTCCTGCCCCGGCCCTTTTCCAGCTGGTGGCCGAGGACCTGTTGCTCCTGTCTCCTCATCTCCTCATCTGAAAGCGTGAAGGTGAAGATCAAAAGGAGACCTTATAGGCGGTGTACCCTGGCCCAGTGCCTGGCACGGAGAAGCACCTGACATGCCTCTGCTCCTTCCCTTGTATTCCGGCAGCTTTCCCTCATGTCCACTCAACCATCGGTGTATTTTTCTGAAGATGTCACTCTTGTCCTATTACGCCCTGACCCCAGGTTTTAAGCACGAGACACAGCTCCGTGGTCTGATTAAGAGCAGAGACAACGGTTTCTCAACCTTTTTTCCATTATCATCCTCCACGGAGGTCTTTTTAAACATTATATTCTTAATCACCTGTCATGAAATTTCTACAACATAGATACATTATCTATTTATGTGTGTGTATCTGCACAGTAGACACAAAGCACAAGAATCAATTGTCACCCCCTGGGAAACAATGTCACACACACACACACACACACACACACACACACACACACCAAGAATGCATGGCATAGACCAGGAAACCGAAAGGCTAAATTCAGATTCTGGCTCTGCCACATATAAGCTGTGTGGTCTTGAGCAAGTCCCATCACCTCTCCTCCCCTCAGTGTCCTCAACTGTCCATGTCAAGGTGCTTCTGGGGTCACTGGGTTATGTGAGTTCACATGCACAGAGGACTTAGCTCACTGCCTAGCACATCTGCTGTGCAGAGTAAAGGTTTGCTGTGCTTACCCCCAGTGCCCCCTCAGCCTGTAGTGTAAAGTGGGAACACACTAGCCTGGCCTTCAAGGCATAATCGTATCCTCATTTCCCTTTGCTGTGTCCCTCCCACAGAGCTTTATTCAAACCAAGTCTCCAGTTCTCCCCTGCCTTGTGTGTCTGTGCATGTCACTGCCAAGCTGTCCCCACCATCCCCACGGCCTCTCTTGCCTGGAAGCCCGCCCAGCCCCCCTTACCCTTCCACCCAACAGAAACCAGGCTACGGTAGGCAGTTACTGGCTCAACTGGAAGAGAAACCGAGGGCGACAAGGACTTACAAGCAAGTGTGGGGAAGACAAATAATTCTTATCCTTCACTGGCTTTTGCCTGTGTTCCCAGACTCTCATCTGTAAGGCGTCTCAGAGGTCCTGTCTGGGTCACCAGAAACTGTCAGGGAGGAAAAATAATTTTCCCTCTACCCTTCTAAGTTCTAGGCTGAGGCTGTTGTCATAAAGACAGATTGCCAAAAGAAACACAAAAAGATTATTAACACGTATGTATTATATATACATGGGAGGTACGTAGAGAAAAATAAGTGCCTCCTCAGGGTGGATTAGAATTCAGGCTTAAATACCAGCCTCGTAGAGAAAGTGTGGGGAGGGTGTTCTTCTTAGAGAGTAAATGATTTGTAGGAAAGATGAACAGGTCCTTAGAAGAACAGATGGGAAGTATGTTGGTTTGTGACCAAGTGTGCCTAGGTGTGGGGACTTCTAGTTCCTTCTCTCGTGACAAACATCAATGCTCCCTGGTTCTTGAAACTCCTGGGGGGAAGATCTGTGACAACCAAGCTCCTTTTGGAGGCTCTGTCTTGAGGCAGATAGGAAGAGTTCAGAAAAACCTCCCCCTGTATTTGCTATTTCTTGAGGGCTTGCAGCTCAAAATAATGGATATACCCAAGTGGCATATCTGGTGCTGGCGTATTCCGTTACCCTTCATTAGGAACAGCTCAGACAAAGGGTGAAGCCAAAAGGGCTGTGAAAATGAGGGATGGAGACCGGCCCAAGGCAGCACAGCATGGGAGCACTGGGGAGGGAAGAACAGGGGTCCAGGGAGGAGAGGGTCCCCTGGGCAGAACCTGAGGGGCCTCCTCCGAGGTCCGCAGAGGTGGGGCCCAAGTGGGAAGGTTGCTGCGCTCTGCCATCTCTCGGAGCTGCCCTTTCCTTGGCCCATTTCTCAGGGTGGTGTTTGCAGCCTGAGGGATGAGGTAATGTCTCCCTCGGGGCCACTAAGCAGGCTTGCTCACTGCTGGCTATAAAATGGTGTGTTCCTCAAGCTCACACTTCCTCTCTCGTCATGCAGCCTCCTTCGTGTGCAAGCATCCATCTGGGTCCACCATGCACGTCGTTCTGGAATTTGGGAGGCCAGGGAACTGGCACCAGCGTGGCACTTGCTGGGCTGCGAGTCACAGTCCTGTCTGCTTCTAGCTCCTATGGGACAGTGGAAGCCGGCTCGTTAGCTTCAAGGAAGTGAAATCAAAGCCAGGCCTGCCAGCCTGGTGAGGTGGGAAGGGAAAAGCCGCCCACACATGCACTTGGGGTGGGGGTGGGGGGCTGGTTAGAACAGATTGGGATGTCCAAAGGGGTGGGATCATGCCAAGGCCATGTTCACAAGCCTGGGACTGAAACTCACAGTGAGGAGAAACCCTGGAGGGTTTAGGTGGGCAGTTCGCACTTTGGAAAGAGCTCTCTGGCTTCCAGATGGAGGAGAATTGTCAATGGGGTAAACTGCAAGAGGTATGAAGGACACAGATGGGCACTGGAGGTTACTCAGGCCCTGGCTGGAGACAAAGATGGGGAATCAGAGCACAGAGGTGGTCACTGATGAGCAGTGAGCGAGGTTGTCCAGGAAGACAGGACAGCTGATGAGGATAACAGGGCAGTGGATGAGGTTGTCCAGGAAGACTGTGTGACTGGAAGAGAGAGCGCCTTGGCAGGATCCCAGAGAGGAGCATTCAGAGAAGCAGGAGGGGGGTCTCCAGCAGGCAAAGGGAAGCTGAAGCAGCTGGCCCCACTGGGTGGGCCCTGGGACAGGTGGCTGTGGGGTAGAGATGAGGAAGGGGTGCTGCAGGCTCCTGGCCGGAAGAAGGGAAACCGACCACAGACTTCCTCAAACGCCAGCAGGTCGCCCAGCCCGGGACACTGCAGTCCCACCCACAGCTCTGTCCTGGCCGCCAGGACGTAGGAGGAGAGCCGGTGGGGAGCACGCAGGACAGCCCTGCCCGCGGGAAGACACAGCTACGGGAGCCACAGTGGTGCCGGCGAGCAGGCTGCAAGACGGGCAGTGAGGAGCCAGGAAGGCCTTGGAGGAGTCCCTGACCCTCTAATAAATGTGTGCCAGGGGTGCTAGACCCAGGGTAGGCCCCAGGAGAGGGAGCCATCAGAAGTAGTGTTTGCCTTGTGGGTGAGCCAGGCAGGCAAGGAAGTGGTGGGAAGGCAGTGAGACCACGGTGGTGGAGGTTCGAGCTGCAGAGAGGGAGCAGGCTGGCCGGGGCAGGGAGCAGGGACTCGGCCTGGAGGAGTCAGGAACAGCGTGGCCTGGGGGAGACAGCGGGGAACGAGTCTGAGCCAGTTTGTGGGTGAAGCCTGTGCCCAGGAGACACGGACCTTAGGCTTGACCGGAGGGTATAGGGGAGTCGCCAAACGCCTTGGAGGAGGGAGGCTAGGAGTAAAAAGTTTGGAAGCACCTACCAGGTGCCCGGTACTCACTAAGTGCTTTTTGTGCCAACGCATCTCAAAATTCATGTACTGATCAATCTCCTAAGAATTTCATCAAAATGCAGAGTCTCGTTCAGTGGCGGAGCCCCAGGGGCTGCATTTATAGTAAGCTCCCAGTACCTGGGACTGTCCTTTGAAGAGAGAAGCTGTAGTTCATCTCATCTGCATGCCAATGCAGCCTGGTGAGTGCTGTGGGCCCCTTTTTACAGGCAGGAAAACTGAGGTTCAGTGGGCGTTAGTGGTTCCTGAGAACTGCACTGTTCCCTGGCCTCCCCCGAAGGGGGCAAAAACACAGCCTCCACATCCTCACTTCCTCCAAGCTGTGGGGGGCAGACCCACACCCCCCACCCCCACCGTGGCTCTGTCCTCCAGGTTTGTGCATTCAAACCCTCCTGCCATCCGATGGTCTCCAGCCTGGAGCTTCTGCGCTTGACTGCGCCAACATCTAAAGATAGTCGACCTCACAGGAAACCCACTACTATTGGCTAACTTGGCAAATAAAGATGCTCTCAGAGGGAGGGAGAGGGAAATACTCTGTGACAGAGACAGAGACAGTGGGACGGGGTGGCTGATTGTCACGTCCGGAGGTTTCCTTCCCAGGCCCGGCCCAGGTAGGAGCAGGGAACTTGCCAGCACCTGTGGGCTTGCGGGGCGGGGCACCATGGTCAGAGGTCATGGTGGGTGCAGATGCTGGTTTGCTTTCCACGCTAACAAGAGAGACCGTTTTCCCAAAGCTGTTGCAGCCTAATGTCCAAGGGGCTTGAGGGGTGCCGGGCGGTGGGTGATTAGACCATCTTGGATGCACTCGACATGGGATACGATTAGAAGCAACAGTAATTACATGTTAGGGGCATGGAGAACGTTCATGGGTAGGTATTACCTGAAAGAATCATCATTTGAAAGTGCATCTGGATGACCGTGAGGATTTAGTAACTTCTTAAAGTGAGAAATAGTATCAAAGTTACTATTTTGTTTAAAAAGAGTTCTTATTCTTTTGGAGACTCATACTTACCTGTTTATGGGTGAAATGGTATGACACCTGGATTTATTTTGAAATAATCTAGTAAGACACAGAGTGGGGAATAGATGAAATCGTGACCATTAGTTGCTAATTGAAGCTATGTGGTGCGCGCCTGGTGGTGTTCTCTGCTTTTATTTATGTTTGAAAATTTTATAATAAAAATGGTTTAATATAACACTTGCATCTTAAATGTAAATATAACTACACTTAATATAAATATAAAAACACGCAGAGTGATTTCACGGGAAAAGGCAGAAAGCTCGCTGTGGTTGATTCTGGGAAGTTGGATGGTAGATCGTTCGCTTCTATGTTGTTTTTCCTTTTCTTTCCATGCTTTTTTTGTGCCACCTACATTTGTTACAAAGAGCACCTATTGCATTTACAATGACAACTATTTTAATGAATAAATTGCCAACACAAATTCGATGTCCACTATTAATATATGCTGTTATAATCATTGTGAGGACACGGGCTCAGAAGGTTTGTGTCATGGGAAAACAGTCTCAGGAATTCAGAGAGGACACACGCATGGGTGTATGAGAGGAGGAACTACATGGAGGACCCAGGCAAGGACTGACAGGGCCTCTCATTTCTCCTTGCTTGACCTTTATCTGGCCATCTCAGCCTGACAGATTCCACAGTCTCTGCTCTGTAGGTTCTCAGCTGAGCTCAGAGAGAAGCCAGGGAGTTTTAGGATTTCCCCTCCCCCCAAAAAGTTCATTTTCTTTTTCAAATACTTTAGATAGATAACTCAAGGTAGAAAAAAGTTGAACCTAAAGGAGAAAAGAAGACTGGATTGTGTGAGAAGCATACAAGAAAGCTTCCTGGCGGAGCCCCCCGGGTGGCTCAGTCGGTTGAGCCTCTTGGTTTGGGCCCAGGTCATGATCTCAGGGTCGTGAGATCCAGCCCCATGGCGGGCTCCACGCTCAGTACAATCTGCTTGTCCCTCTCCTTCCCCCTCTGTTCCTGCCCCTACTCAGCGTGCTCTCTCTCTTCCCTCTTTCAAATAAATAAATAAAATCTGAAGGAAGGAAGGAAGTTAGCTTCCTGGTGAAGCTTCTGCGGAGCTTCCAGGGTCTGCTCAGGGGCAGGTCATCCCATGCCCAGGGGTGCCTGGAGGGGACTGGGTTCTATGAGAGGAGGTAGGTGGCCACTGGGCACCACTGCGTGTGGGTGTGTGTGTGGGTGTGTGTGGGTGTGTGTGTGTCCGTGTGCATGCGAGCTGGTTCGGATTTACAACCTTTGCCTGCCTCTTGGCTTGGCTTCATTTTCACACAGGGATGCAGGGCAGGATGTGGCTCTTGCCCACACCCCCCAGAAGGGAGCCGGGACTGTGTGTCAGCCACATGCTGACCATACCCTAAGCCAGGTTCCACAAGTGTCACTGTCTCCGCTTCACAGTGGGTGGGAGAGGGAACTTGGCTTTGGAATGAAGGCTTGGCTCTGCACTTGACCTTGCTACGCCTCAGGTCCTGCTGTAAAATAAATACTAGTCATCGCTGAAGCCGAGTGATGGGTATAGGTTGAATATCTGTGAGAATTACGGGCAAGGTAGATAAAGTTCTGACCGCACTGTCTGGCCATGTTTGGTGCTTAATAAACAATATGTGTTGTCATTGTGGGAAGCTGAAGATCGGAAGGTTTGTGTACCTTAAGACCACTAACCACGTTCAAATGAGGTTGGGAGGGGCAGGGAGAAGGGGTCTGCCAGAGCCCACCCAAGTCAAAACCAGCTTCCACTCCCCACCCACCCCCTTCCACCGTGGCCGGGCTGTGGAAGGGCAGCAATATCAGGTATGGTCCCACTCCAGAGACCCTGGCCTCAAAGACCCTCCTTCTCAGGGTCTGGGACATTCAGCTACCCCCTCCCCTCCCTGGCCAGACCTCTGACCCAGAACAGAGTCCTCGGCTACCCCTGTTTCACTCAGGCACACAGATTCCCCCTCGGAGAGGGCCAGAGTCAGCACCCACAGCAGCTGAGCTGGACAGGGAAGGCAACCCCTGCGGTCCCACAGCGGGTTCCAGGGACGAGGAGGGGGCGCACAGGCCCGGTCTCTGCTGGCTTTTCCGGGCACTGGCTCCAAGTCCCAGCGGCACAATCCAGGGGTTCCAAGGGCTGGCCTCACCCACTCTGCCCAGGAGCACCAAAGCTGGGGCTTCCAGCTGAGTCCTGATCCTGCGCGCCCGCCGTGGGGGCTCAGAATGCACCGGCTGCCCCGGGGGCTGCCCCAGTCGGGCTTCAACTACCCCCTCTTCTGATCTGGCCAAAGAGCAACTCTTTGGGGTTATGCATCTTTGTAGGGAAGAAAACCTATATCACATCTCTATAAATATATATTTTTATATTATATATTATATATAGATTTTATTTTATTTTTTAAGATTTTATTTATTTATTTATTTATTTATTTATTTATTTATTTATTATTTATTTGAGAGAGAGAGAGAATCTCAAGCAGACTCCGCACTGAGTGCAGAGCCTGACGTGAGGCTCGATCTCACGACCCCGAGATCATGACCTGAGCCAAAATCAACTGACTGAGCCACCAGGAACCCCTCTTTAAATATCAAAAAAGAAATTTTGCAGGCCCTCTTTATCCCTTTCCTTAAACCTATGTTCATTGTGAAATATGGCACACTCAAAGAACAGTGGGCAGATTAACAACTTATAAATCAACCTGCCACCCAACCAACCACCAGCCAGACAGCAGGAGAAACCCAGGCCGGCCCCCAGCAGCCTCCCTTACGTCCCTTCCTGACTGCCACCCCGCCCTCCCAGAAGTCACCGCTTCCTTACTCATCCTTAGAGTTCTACCCCTTAGATATGCATCCCAAAATAATATGCATCATCGTTACTGGTTTTTGACCTTCGTAGGCATGCATTCACACAGTAGGTCTGCTTTTGGGTCTGCATTTTTAAAATGCATCCATGCTGTGGGAGATGTAAATGCACACACACCACTGTTCGTGACGGTGTTGTCCACAGCGGCCCCGGGCCGAAAGCCACCCAGGCGTGCATCAACAGTGGAAGAGATCACCGTGGAACGCTCACACGGTGCCCATCTGTTCAGCAATGGCAGTGAGCAGACACCAGCCACCGCAGTAGCGTGGATGAGATACTTTCAGAAACACTGGGAGAACATACAGATACATGCAAAATTGGTCCATAACCACAAGGGCAGTTATCAAGCACGTCTCCACCAGACACAGTTTCTATTTCTGCAAACAAGATTATTGCATTGCTATCAGTATCCTGAACTTAGAGAGCTGTATGTAGGCCAGAAAATGAAAGGGGAGGTAGCCCAGAAGGGTGTGCTAGCCAGGACACCCAGGAATTTCCCCTCTCTTTCAAAGTCTTATAATTCTCCTACAGTTCCTTAGCATGGAATTTGAGGACCCTCTGTTCACCTCTCTTCTGTCTTCTCGGCCCTTGCTCTCTCTGCATCTTTTCCTGAACCCTCCACACAGACTAAACTCGACTTCCATGAAGGCTCCAGGAGCATGCCGGCCCCTTCTAACCCCACCATCCTCACTTCCATCTGTTTCTAGTATATTCCCTCACACCCCCTCTGCAGAGTCTTGACCCTGGAAAACATCCCTGTGCTCAGACCTTCCAGTGCCTTTGGCTTCAATACCCCCACCCCGCTTCCCACCTCCACATTAGTCTACCTGGAAGAAACCCCCAGCTTTAAGACTCAGCTTAAATGATCCAATCCTTGGGTTTCCCCTAACTTTTCTTATATTCTGTTACTGAACATTAACAGCAACTTAAAGACTGTATCTTAGCCATTTTTACCTCCACCAAATGGAGCACAGAGCCTAGTGTTGCAGAAATAAAATTAAAAATAAGATCTCCAACCCAGAAAAACCTCTCACAGAGATAATAGAGAAAGAAGACATCTTTATTATTAACTAGGCATGAAACCAGAATGTGATGCCCATCTCGGGCAATCTGCTAAGAGATTGCAGAGATGGGGGGAAAAATCCTACCTCTTTACACAGCCAAGCAGATACAGTCCCTAACGTGAGAGACACATACCTAGTCCTCACTCGAGAGAACTCGACAGTCACACACATCCTAACTTTACCATGGTAACTGGGGTGACCATCTGTGTTAGCTGATTGGCTTCATCCCGAGAAGAAATAGACTCATATCTTTATGACGGGAAGTATTTTTGTAACTTGGAGCAAGGCACCCACCTACTCTTCCACAGAAACTGGGTGACAGGGGCACTAATTCTTTTTTTTTTTTTTTTAAGATTTTATTTATTTGAGAGAGAACGCAAGGAGGGGGAGTGGGAGAGGGAGAGGCAGACTCCCCGCTGAGCAGGGAGCCTGACATGGGGCTCGATTCCAGGGCCCCAGGATCATGACCTGAGCTGAAGGCAGATGCTTAACCGACTGAGCCACCCAGGTGCCCCAAGGGTGCTGATTCTTGATGTTTGCTTTTCAAAGAGAAGGCCCCCAGGTCCTTGAGAAAGATTCCTGGGTCATAAAGCTGACAAAAGAGGTGATCACATTTTCAAAAGGACACATACCTACATTTCAGAGTGGAGAATGTACTTCCAGTGACAAGTTTTCTAAAGCAAG